TGTTGCTGCTGTTGAGCTGCTTGTTTCTGAGAGGCAGGCGGGCTGCAGAGCAGCAGGAGGTGAGGATGGAGGGAGCAGTCCTGGAGTTGGATGGTTGTACTCTGTGATGGAAGCCCCCTCGGGCTGCTTTGTGGAGAGAGGGTTGTAGGGAGCAAGCCTGGATACGGGGAGACCAGGGAGACCCGTGTAGATGAAAGAGGGTGGCGCGCGTGAGCCCAGCATCTGCTAAATGCTTACACATGGCATCTCATTTAATCCTCACAGCAACCCTGTGAGCAGCTAATTCTTATTGTACCCATTTCACAGGTGAGAAAGCTGAGGCTTTGGAGAAGTTGAGTAGCTTGCCAAGGTCATAGAGACTAATTCTAGCCCTAACTCTGAGCTGATGGAAATGGTGGAGCTGGGATTCGAGCCCCAGCGGTCTGACTCCTGAGCCCATGGGATCCTGTGTCATAACCATCTAAGGCCCTTTGAGTTGGGGGACAGGGTTGGGGGACCCCCGGGAGGGCTCAGTCCTTCCTGAGGCTCTTGGATGGACCCTGCAAAGACCTCATCCGTCTGTGATATTCTTTTGAATCAGAGAGAACCTGCCCTGATTCTGCGCAGAGCGCCAATGGAAGGGAGAGTCACTCCTGCAGACATGAATGACTTTACTCTCAAAAACCCTTTTATTGAGGCGTAACTTGCTGCAGGAAGTGCATTCATCTTATACGTTCAGACAACTGGGTTTTTACCTAGAAAGTCACGGGCATGCCATGCCATGCTGTGTTGCACTCGGAACTACCACCTAGATCCTGATATCGAGTAACCCTCCCCTGTTAAACTCCAGGACAATTTTAAGGGTGAAGTTTGTGACTTAAACACAACATGTTTTTGCCCTGTGCCAGGTTTCCCCAAGATCTCCACCCCACCCCCCAAGCCAGAATTCTGCTGGAAACTCCCAGATCCTGGGCTGGGGGCCCTTCAGATCCTGGGCTGGGGTCCTTCAGGGCAGATCTGCACCAAACACCTTGACCACAAACTAAGACGTGAAGAGGGTGGCTTGGTGAATGCCCAGGTCTCTAGCATGATGATGCTTTAAAAGTGCCTCCCATGAGCATTTTCATACATATCTCTTCTCACAGCAGTCAGTGAGGCAGGGGGTCCCCACCTTATTTGCAAAAAAAAAAAAAAGTCCTCAGTTTCACCATCTGTACAATGGGTGAATGGGAAGGGATGCATTTGATGAAATAGAATCTCTCCTAAACTCTAAAAGTCCTAAGATTCCCAGGGCTGTGCGGAAGTGACAAACACATCTAGACACCACTTCCTCCTTCCAAAGGAGAGAGCAATCCCTCACGCCCCCCTCCCGCCTCTCCTCAAAATCTGACACCGGAGATTTTGACGTGCGCCTTCCTCGTCCCACGAAGGAGTCTGCTTAGAGGACAGCTTAGGTTTGCAAGTTGCTTTAGAGTCAAACTCTACACTGGGGGGTTGCATCACAGCTGTGTCACTTATTAGCTGTGTGACACTGGGCTAGTCCCTTCACCTCTCTGAACCCCCATTCCCTCATCTGTACATGGGGATAGGAATGGTCCCTTCCACAGAGGTTGCTGTAGGATTCAATGAGAAAATGAAAGGAAAGTGCTTAGAGGTGCCCCAGCCTTGGACATGCTCAGTTCAGATTACCCACTATTATTATTGTTGTTGTTGAAGCCTTGAGCACAGGCAGGTGTCCTATCGGCCTGTGTTTCCTCCTCCCTTCACCTCGCACCCACAGCCCATTGACCATGTCTCTAGGGCAGTAGCTGGCTGATGTGCCTCGGGGTGTCCCCATCTCCTGGGGGGCGTGGGGGGGAGACCTCTGGAAGATCCCCCAGGACAGAACTCAGTTACCTCCAGGTTAAACCCCAAGTCCAAGCCCTGGGAGTGCTGTCTGCACAGACTCCCCGCAGCCCCCGCCCCCACTTGCAGCATCAATGGGCCTCCGCTCCTGGTGGGTTAATCTGTGTGTGATTTATAGGGCTTTGGTGTGTGCTCAGAGGGCTCCCCTGAGAAATATAATTGTGCGTTGGGAGGTGCATTTGAATAATATTTACAATTAAGTTCCGTCAATAGAGCAGCTCCGAGGCCTCTGCACGGCTGAACCGGCCCCTGGGCTGGCTTCCCACTAACCACTCCCCGGAGGAAGCCTGGGGAGCTTTAACATCGCTCTCCATCAGTCAGTCCACTTCTCTCAAGGCCACCTTTGCTCCCAGAGCCCAGGCATCATCACACACATGTGGAGGCTGCAGGAGCCCCTCACCCCCCCCCCACACCTCCTCCCAACAGAAGGCCTGGGCATCGGGCATGAGGCATCATTTCAATGTGTAGATCTGAGCACATCACTGTTGTATGGGCCCAGAGTCCGGCCCTGCCTCCTCTCTGTCCGGTGTACCTATGATCGGTCGGTCTACCGGCTCTGTGGCAGGCGCCTCCCCTTCCAGACCCTCACGTCCACTCTGCTCCCTCCCACGCCCACACTGCTTCCCCTCCCCCTGTCGCACCTCCCACCACACCAGCGCTGACCTCTCCTTCGCATCTCAAGCATCTCTTCCCAGGAGAAAGTGTCCTTGGCCTCTGGCCAGGGTCAGACCCCTCTCCAATGTGTGCGTGGCACTTACGGAGGTTGCTTTCCATTCAGAAAAAATTGTTGTTGTTGTTGTTTTTAATGATTGGCTGTCTCTCCCACTCGCCAATGAATGAGCTGACGAGGACAGAGATTGTATGTTCAGATCACCCTGTATTCCCAGTGCCTGCCGCAAGGCCTGGCCAAAAGTAGGTGCTGGCTAGGTTGTGATGGCCCGGATGGACGGGTGGATATGTACTCGCAGAGATGGTTATGTACATGGTGGGTGGGAGGATGGGTGGAGAGGTGGATCGTGCAGAAAAGGCTGGGCCCGAAGGAGGAAAACAGCTGGTTTGGATTTTGCTCCTGTTCATTCATCGGCTTTTCCAAGGACATAATGATTTCCCGGCTCCCCGGGGCGGCCTGGCCTGCACGCGGCCTGTCCTGGGGCTCAGAGGCCCGAGTGGCTGACTGACGGCGGCTGTTTCTGGGACCTGGAGCCCGTCCCGCACCATCTTGTGCCCGAGTCGCTTCACCTGTGACGATGGGGAGGGGACGGTGGAGACACCGGGCAGTATGTAAAGCCCCCCTTTTTGCTCTCAAGCTGTCCAAGGGCAGGTTGCTTAAAGCAGGCGGAGGCTGCAGCGTGGGATCGATTCAGAGCTGGCTCATCCTGAGCACAATGGACCTGACAAGTGAAGGAACAGTTTGTCTCCTAATGAGGTGTGATTCCAAATCGCCCGTGGCCTCGGGCGCTTGCCAGGTGCTGGGAAGACATCACAGCTGCTAGCTGCCTCTTGGAGAACTGGCTTCAGGCTGAAGGGACTGGGCGGGGAGGGGAGGGGAGAAAAGAGAATGCAGCTCTCGGAGACCAGAGGGCCTGGGGCCCAGGAGGAGCTGCCTCCCGGCTGTCCCGCTGACTTCCCTGAGGCCCCTGGGTGCAGGAGGGGGAGCCAGTGGGTGAGTGTGGATGGTTGTCCAGGAAGCTGGAGGGCAACGGCCTTTTCTTTGCCAAGCGGAGTCATCTTTGGAAAACTATTTGCAAAGCTGACTTAAAAGGCCTTTCAGATGTTTATATGAATCCGCTGAGGAATATATATTTATGGTCAAAACCCCAAGCCCCTCTCAAAACCTTAGGACTCTGCGGCTTTATTTGAGCCAAACGAGACCTAGGTTCAAATCCCAACGCTGGCGGAGACCAGCTGGCCGCCCTCAGGCAAGTTCCTTGACCTCTCTGAGCCTCAGATACGTCACATGTAAAGGGGAAGTCAGGTGTAATTGTACCTAACTCGGGGCTGCTGTGAGGAATACATGCAATACCTGTACAGTGCTTATCATGGGAGTGCTAAATAAATGCAGGCTATCATTATAGTCTAGAACAGTGATGGGGAACCTTTTGAGCTCGGCGTGTCAGCATTTTGAAAAACCCTAACTTAACTCCGGTGCCGTGTCACATAGAGAAATTTTTTGATCTTTGCAACCATAGTAAAACAAAGATTTATACTTTTGATATTTATTTTATATATTTAAATGCCATTTAACAAAGAAAAATCAACCAAAAAAATGAGTTCGCATGTCACCTCTGACACGCGTGTCATAGGTTCGCCATCACTGGTCTAGAACATTCTCAATAGATAAATTCTCTATAGGCTCAGACAGAGACTCTGGTTAGCCGTGTGCTGTTGGGCCAGTTGCTTGCCTCCTGGAGCCTCAGCGTTGCCATATGTAAGAGGGATGATGACACCAGGGCACAGGAGGGCATTGTCCTAGGTGAGAAGAGGCTACAGGGCTGCACACAGGAGCTCCGTGCCTCTGGTACCCCAGGGCCTGCATCCCAGGCCTGCATCCCAGAGAACACAGTTCAAGGTCAGGCTCCAACCTCCACTTCAAGTTCAGTGACTGGGCCCTTGGACGCACACCCCAGCCACAAGGCACTCCCTGTAGCTTCCTGCCGGTGCCCTGGGACTGGTCTCTAGCAAGGCGTGGAGGAAGAGGAGAGGCCCTCCTTGCTCACCTCCTTCCCCAGGAGTGTTTCATTCTGAGTGGCTCCAGCCAGAGCCCATAGATTAGGGAAGGAGGGGGTGGGGGCTCCTGATGAAGCTGACCCCTCCACCCAGCACCCCCAGGAGCAAATTGAAAGTGAGAACAGGGGTTGGGGGAAAGGACTAGCACCACCCCCACCCCCAAAATAGCTCAGCACAAAGCCCATGGAAAGTCCTTTCTCCTTCCCTTCCCCCCAAGAGCCTGCATGGCCCCTCGGGGCCTGTTCTTTGTGTTCCTAGGAGAGCTGAACACACATGCACGGTCCAGGGCTCATCTGTCACCTTCCTCTCCCAGGTGCCCTGTGCATTCCCTGTGCCCCAATCCAGAGGAGTGGCTTGAGGGATGAGACATCTGTCTGGCTGCTGGATAGGTAAATAGGGAGAGGCGTGTTCTGCCCTCCTCCGCTCACCCCCGGAACGGACCCGGTAGAATGTTTGTGTCATTTCCGGGGAGCGCACAGTAGGTAGCATCGTCTCCCTGTCTCATGCTGATCGCGGTCCACGGCAGTGCTTTGGAGAATTCTCCCTTTTGTGCTTGGCGTCATCTTCATTGGTCAAGGCTGGTTTCCCAAGGAGCGTGGGACGCTGGTCCAAGGCTGTGGGCCAAGGGGCATGCCATGCCCACCATGCCACCGGGAGAAAGGGGTCCCGAGCCCTGGGTACCCGGCTCAAAACACTGGTCCGCCCCGTGTGAAATGCAGCGGGCGTTGGTGGGCGCTGCGCAGGCTCCCGCCGCGGCCTTGGGAAGGCAGCGCCTTGGACGCCAAGGTTGGGAGTGTCTGTCGGGGTCTCCAGGCAGGGCTCACAACAAGTTGGTCTCCTTCTCGTTCTTCGAGGATCTCTCGTTGATGGACGACATCCTGGTAGAGTTCCTGTGGCTGGGGTCGGGGTACTGGCCTGTGTCCTCACTCAGAGCGTTGGCCAGACGGGAGAAGAAGTTTACCCTGAACTTCTTGAAGTCCTGACCCATGAAGGCATACAGGATGGGGTTCATGCAGCTGTTGGCAATGGCGAGGACCGTGGCCAGGGGCAAGCCCAAGGTGAAGACGGAGGCAGGCACGGAGGTGTGGTGGAGCTCCAGGAGGTAGACGGTTTGGTAGGGGCACCAGCAGAGGAAGAAGGTGATGATGATGGTCAGGATGATCTTGAAGGGCTTCTTGGTCTTGGCCAGGCGGTTGCGCCGGAGCTTGCAGACGATGGTGACGTAGCAGGCCGTGATGATGAGGACCGGGATCAGAAAGCCACACAGGAAGCGCATGACGCTCACCGCCAGGTGCCAGCGGAACCCCACGGAGCCCGGATGAAGGTGAGCGCGCCCCAGGGAAGAGTTGGCCTCTCCCAGGCTGAAGTTGCTGAAGCACGCTATCTTCCCGTGCACGAGGACCGTGTCCCGGAACACGAGGGAAGGGAAGCTCAGGAGGGAAGCCAGGACCCAGATGACCATGCAGGCCACGTAGACCAGCCGTATGCTGCGGTGGTTCTGGGACCAGACGGGGAGGAGCACCGCGATGCAGCGGTCGAAGCTGATGGCCATCAGCAGGAAGACGCTGGTGTGCATGTTGTGGTTGAGCAGGAAGTTGCTGACCTTGCACATGGCGGTCCCAAACACCCAGTGGTAGTCCGCGGCCACATAGGCGATGTGGAAGGGGAGGAAGAGGTTGAACAGGAAATCGGCGATGGCCAGGTTGACGAACCAGATGGTGTTCACCGTCTTCTTCACCTTGAAGGTGGCGATGAAGATCACCAAGCCATTGCCCAGGATGCCCAGGCAGCAGATGATGCTGTAGACCACCACCAGGAAGATCCTGATCACCCCGCCTTCCGGGGGTGGAAACTCCTCCAAAATCAGGATGGCTTCAGGATCCTCAGGGTACTCGTAATCATAATGGTAATCGTAGGAGTTGTTGTAATCCTCCCCCTCCATGCTCTGCAAGGGGAGACCAAGGTCATGAGCAGAACCTGGACTGGAACTGCCTTCAAGAGGCCAACCAAGATCAGCAAGCCCGACAGGGTTCTCCCTGGCAAGGCACAAGGCCGGTTCCTTAGCTTAACTACTTCCCGTTTTGCTATTTTATTTACTTAACAAATAGCTGGACAGCACTTCCTACACACCAGGGACTGTTCTGAAGCCTTGACATACACAAACGCTCTTCATCCTTGCAAAAGCTCAGCGAGGTAGACGAGCTTCCCCATTTTACAGGGGAAGCAACTGAGGCACCGAGCACTTAAGTGATCCGTCCCAGGTCATTCAGCTGAGAGTTAACCCAACTTCAGAATCTATCCTCTGGACAGCCATGTTTTGCTGCCTCTCTGGAACCCTCCCTCACCTTACAGTCCAGCGGGGGAATCAAACATTCATCCACAATTCCATGATCATGGAAAAAGTGGGAGGAACAACGCTAAATGCCATAAGGAGAGGTGCACAGGGCCATGAACTCGGTCCCAACCATGTTCCCAAGACCCAGGGGACAGCTATGTGGTGGTCCCACCTGGTCAGGGGACCCGACTGGCGCCCTTTGGAGATACGCGCTCAGACCCCAAGAGTGGCTCACCGTTCACTGTTAAGGTGTCCAAAGCTTTCCGGGGTGGGTCCTCGGCCAGTCAGTCTCCGTGCACAGCTGGAAACACCTGCAGGGAGAACAGGAGGCAGCTGCTAGGTCCCGGTCTCAGAGCCACCACGCTGGTGCACTCTGAGAAAGGACCTCTTGTCGTCACTCCCGATTCACGGAAGAGGAAGCAGGGTCGTGCCTGAGGTGACCCAGCTGACGAGCAGCTGAGCTGGAATTGGAACCCAGGACCCTGACGCCCTGGAATCCCTGCACTTCCCACCACCAAAGCTCCTCCCATCTGGACAAACGGGCTCCACGCAGGTAGATGTCTGAGCCTGGCGAGACGGCCAGTCGGTGCTTCATTACCCATCACTCCAGCTTCCCTCCATCCAAATTCATCGCCGCTCCTTCATGGACTTGCGGTTATATTTTATTGCATAAGAGCCGTCATCTGATTTTATTACACAAGAGCTACTTGTAAAATTCCATTGAGGACTCTGGGCTCCAGGGACTCTGAATTGGAGCTGCGGACCACTCTGCAGGCAGGGAGCAAATTCCAGGGGTGCCCAGGAATGGGTCCCCAGGCCCCCAGGCAGGAGGTGGCAGAGCCAGGATTGGAGCCCCATCTGCAGAACCCGGGCTCTTCCCATTGCTCCATGCTCCCCTCAAATGGTGATGTGATGACTGAGTGTCCACATTCCCTGTGCCCGGCTGTGCAGGCCCCAGGGACAAGGAAATGGCTCTTCTAGCAGGAGGGCTGCCTGCGCTCCAGTCATCACATCCACGCTCCAGGCAGGAAGCTGGGAAAGATGAATGAGGGGTCTCCACGGAGCTCATAGTCAGTTGCAAGACACCAGGCAGAAGAAGTGCTCCCAGGCCGGGAAGGGGTGCTCCCGGGCCTGGGAGTCAGAGGCTTCCTCAGGCCCCAGGAGGCTCACGTTTTAACCCATTAGCTGAGCTTTAAGGTCAATTCTAAGATGACAGAAGGAGCCCTAGCCGGTTTGGCTCAGTGGATAGGGTGTCGGCTTACAGATCTGAAGTGTCCCGGGTTCGATTCCGGTCCAGGGCATGTACCTCCGTTGCAGGCTCGATCCCCAGCCCTGGTCGGGGCTCCTGTGGGAGGCAACCAATCCATGTGTCTCTCTCACATCGCTGTTTCTCTCTCTGTGTCACTCCCCCTCCCTTCCACACTCTCTATAATCAATGGAAAAATATCCTCGGCTGAGGAGTAACAACAACATCCACAAAAAAGATGATAGAAGGAGGGAGGAGGGTGGGCCCCACCTCCCAGCATGCCCCCCTTTTTGGCAGTCGGGGAGGGGGGTGTCTGAGCCCCTGGAGGAGGGTGGAAAGGAACGGGGACTCAGGACCGAGCACTTGGCGCTGCAGTGTCTCAGAGACGCTCTGGGGACACAGATGACGTCACGTCTGGCTCTCCGGCTGGGCTGGGAGCAGCTCAGGGTCAGGGGCCACCTCTTTCCATCTTTGAATGGGGGCCAGGCTGGGCCAGCACAGGGTGGCGCTGACATCTTCTGGGCATGTCTGCCCGCTCACCCCTCACCCCTCCTCCTGAGAGCTGAGTGAGTCAGTGTTCCCAGTTGGTATGTGTCCTCCCCCGCCCCCCACACACACACACCCCAGTCCCTCAGCTTTCCCTGGACGGGGACCCCAGTCACAAGTTTGCATTTGGCCTCTATTCTGTCCCCACAGACATCCCTCCCATCCTGAGCTCATTTCTGTCCCCAGACCATGTAGTTCTGGGTTGAATGGTCAAGGACACCGATTCTGGGCTGCCTCACATCCAAATCCTCAGTCTGTATGAACTTCCTATGACCTTGAGCAAGTCAGTTACCTTCTCTGCACCTCAGTTGTCTTATCCATAAAATGGGCACGATCACAATCATTGGGAATGGTTGAGAGGCTTAAATGTCACATGCAAAGTAACTTAGAGTAGTATTGTTACTGAGTCACTATGTTGTTATTGTTTTTATTACTGTTCTTTTTATTATTATCATGATGATGATTATTTCTCGGGCTTCCACTCTTAACTCCCTCCTAAAATGGCCTTAGCCTGGGAAGGTGGGAGGACCAATGCATCCTGCCCACTAGTCTCCCAGCTCTGGGTTCAAGGGCAGGACAAGGGCAACACAGGCAAGGATTTTCCTTCTCTAAGCTCCAGTCTCCTCATCTCCCCAACGGGGGTAAGAACCTCTCCCTCATGTTGCTAGGAGAGTCGTGTGACATGAGAATGAATCCTTTGCCAATTATAAATTGTAAAGAGCTATAAAATTCTAGTTATTCGTATTTCTTAAACCCTCACAACCAGGAAGCTCATGAAAAAAGTATCTATAACTATATATACATATGTACACACATAGGTAACACGTATTTGAGTATTCACCATATACCAAACACTGCAATGCAAGACTCCATGCAGTGCTGCCAACCACCCTGCAAGGATATCAGTTTGCAGGTAAGAGAACTGAGATTCAGAGAGGTGAAGCAACTTGCCCGAGGCCACACAGCTGGGAAATCTGACTCCAGAACGCTGCTTCCAAGTCTCATGCTTCCTTTGTTTCCCTGATGGCTAGGGGGTCCTCAACCCCACCTCTCTGAGTCCTATAAGCCTCAGCCTGGAACTCTGAGAACCCAGACCTTCCTCACACTCTTCATCCTCCACGGAGCTGCCTTCCCCGAGCCACCTCACCTTTCCTTAAAGGCTTCATGAAAATCATACCTGCGATGTAGGTCCTGGTCGATGGAAATGCCCCCTGCCCTTTTGGGGTGCCCTTATCAAGCCCCCTTCCCAGTGAGAAGTGCCCTTGAGAATTCAGGGTAGGGAACACCATTGCTTCCCCTGCGGAACTGGGCTGCTTCCTCATTCTTGAAAATCCAGGTCCTACGACGGATCACATTTCCCTTTTTGACGTGGCCACAAGGAAGCTCTGAATCACATTTGCAGGTCAAAAGCAGCAATTCCACTGACCCCACTGGTCTGCAGGTTTTTGCATTGGTTTGGGTTGGTCCTTGTGTTTACATCTATTATACTTGATATTGGTTTTAGTTCCTTATAATAAACTAGAGGCCTGGTGCACGAATGCAGGAGGTTGGCCAGCCATGCCCGTCCTTTCCTTGGACAGTTCCCATAGGTCCCTGGGAGAGGATGCCAGGGACCATTTGATACAGAAGGCAGGAGGTCTGCTGTGACACCTGAGCAAGTCGCTTCCCCTCTCTGGGCCTCAGTTGTGCAATCTATAAAATGGGAATAATAGTATGTGCCCCACCTACTTCTCAGGGCTGCTGGGAGGATGAGCTAAAGTGAAAAAGATGAGCTTCTGGAATCAGGACTGGGAGGGAGACAATCTCTAGATTCCTCTCTTTTTGTAACTCTTTTTTTTATAACTTTACTTGGAAATAAGTACAGATTCACAAGAAGTTGCAAAAATAGTACAGAGCAGTCCCGCATACCTACCACCCGATTGCCCTCCAGGGCTGGAAGAGAGGGGACGGGTGAATGCTGCGCAGCTGTTAGAAGAGGCAGATTATCTAGGGCGCACGCAGCAAAGCGCAATGCGAGCATCCTGAAGCCACCTCCCCTCCCAGCTCTGAGTCCATTGGAAACATGCTTGCAAAAGCAGCCACACGCACAATTTTGTGTGTTGGGTTTTTTTTGTTTGTTTTTGTTTTTTTGCAAGAACACGGTGGAATCACAAGATACACACTGAACCAATTAGGATACACATTGAACCAATTAGAATGGTTCTGTGGGAGCGGAAATGGGAGGGGGAGGAGTAGAAAGCGGGGCTGAAAGGAAATCAATGCAGTAAAGAAAGTAAGACCAGTCGGCGCGGGGCTTCCGGAGGCCAGTGGCGACGCAGGTGGAGATGGACGGAGGGGTGCCATCATGTCGGCGCTCCCGCCCCTCCCGAGGTCCACAAAAACCCACAGCAAACAAACGGACACCCCAGACCCCTGCCTGGGGGTTCTGTTTGGGCAGCGCCTGGGTCACTGAATCCTGGATGAAGCCACACTGGGCAGGCCCAGGGCCCCACCCTCACAACCTCCTCCCCTGTCGGGCAGGGAATGAATTTGGAGGAGCCAAGGAAGTCACGGCATCGGCCCAGTTGGAGGCGGCTACGCAGTGGCCCAGGCCCTGGCACCTCTTTGGCGAGCCTAGCCCCTGCCAGGGACCAGATGGTCACCAGGCGGAAGGTCCCGCTGCAGATGGTCCCACGCTGCCCAGACCCTGGGGGAGGGAGGGACCGGGGCTCAAGGTCACATCTGGTCCTCCCACCACCAAGAGCAAAAACCTGAGACAGATGTTCTCTGCTTAACTTTTGTGAAACAACCCTGTCTGCACTCCAGGCGCCGTTCTGAGCATTGTTACAGACGAGGAAACCGAGGCCCAGAGAGGGTCATGAGGGGCCCAAGGTCACACAGCTGGCTCGCGGAAGCCAGGCAGAGCCTATCGGTCGTTCTGAACAGAAGAGGAAGCTCAGAACCTGCTGAGCGGCCAAACCCACACTCTGTCCTTGTCCGCTGTTTGACTCCTCGGAACATTCCAGAATCCTCTGGTCTTTGCCCCCTGGAACCTCCCAGGAGCCTCCAGGAGGTCATTCTGGAAGGGTTCTGGGTGTGCCTTTGACAGATGGGGCAAGGCGAGGCTTCTAGTTCCCTGGGATTTGCCCTCAAGCCCCTCTGCGTCTAGTCAGTGGCCCGAATGGGAATGTGTCTCAATCCCAGAAGCTCTGGGGAGGGTGCTGCAGGAGCGAAGTTCACTCACCCGTCCATCCTTCACGGACGTGCGCAGCCCACTGCTCCTTGGCCCTAGCGAGGAGGCTGGGGGGCCGCGGACACACTGTGATCACCTGGGCCTCCCCCTACTCCTGCAGAGTTGCTGGCATCAGAACTGATCTACCAAGGGGGAGGGGGTCACTCCCCCGAGGTCACTCACCTAGTTAGCGGGGACTTGAACCCAGGTCCTTGTGACTCCAGGGCCCCCCCCCCCCCCCTCCAGCTGCTGCCCGCCTGCCTGGGGCCCACAAGCTCCTGGGACGCAGGGCTGAGAAGCTTCTGGGC